TCCTTAATTTTATCTGATATTCTATTTTTTTTCCTTCACGTTCCCCAGTGGAACATAGGGCTTCAAGCTAGTGGCTTGAAGTTTCTGTAGCAGTGTTTGTTTTACAGGATAGGGTTGCTAGCCTCATTCCCAACCTTTCCTCTTTACCAGCATTATTTTTGGCTTAGCGAGGTAAAGGAGTGAGTCGGCCGGGAGTCGAACCCTGGACCATGTGCATGGTCGACAAGCGTCCTAACCGCTATGCCACCGACGCACTATTATTACTTTTTATGCTTATTATAACTTATGCATTTTCCTTGAATTGTGGTAATTCCATTGTGGTCTCAACAAATCGATGTTATTTAGAAACACCAATACTATTAATGACGACTAAAGAGGAAATTATCTAAAAGGATATTCTTTGCTTATTTATTATTTCAATTTAGAATTTGGAGGAAGAATTACGATGATCTATAATATTTGCTATCTCGGCCACATTACCCCATTAATAATCCAATAGAATATTAAAAAAAAATCAGATAAGAAGAAGATAAATGAAAGGACCTAAGAGACCATCAGAGATGTGACTATAACAAATTTGTTTCACTTTCTAGTACTTAAAAGAAGGAGAATTTTTTGAAAAAAAACGTGTTGCAAACTTACCCATAGAATAATCAACTTCAACTGGTCTTATATTTATATTATATTGATTTATGTCCATGCCGTTTGTAGTCTCTGCATTCCAGTGAACATTGTATCCTGTTGGACTTATATAATTCTGAGAAGCGAGTAATTTTATAACCGGTTTAGATAACTGGTTAGTTGTAACCTGTTTAAGAAAATATCAATTAGTGGTTACAAAAATATGCAATGAATACGTACCAAAAAGTTCGATACACCTTAAAGATATTAACACTAGTGGTTTTGATATCAGAAGCTAAGATTAAGGCAGGCAGGTTCTCAAAATTCTAGTACTTAATATTACAACAAAAAGTGTGCACCGCAGCGCTTGGTACTGTGATACTAAATATTTTATAGACTGTACCACATGCTTGGCTGATGGATTTTAGTTGATTCTTGGAGCTTAATAGTTACCCGAATTATAATCCTATAGTCAGATGTATGGACTTGAAATTATGCTGCTCTTTGAGTCAAAATAACAAAGTCTTGTCTGAATGAGTTAGCGGTAGACTTTCCATGAATGGAACATGCGCTCAAATTCAGCTTCTAAGTCATCACAAAAACAAGTAAAGACCATAGGCTAGAATGTGTCTCAGAAGAAGCTGTTAGAAATACACCAGAGATTTTATCCACTAGTAGTGTGATGATACCTTCAGTTTGATCCTTAACGTCAGATAACCTGTATTAGAGAAGTCAGTGCAAGAAGCTACCGTTAATTGTCAAACTAGACAGTTAGAAACACAAGAAAACACAACATGGTTTCCGTGTATACTCCGACTGCCTAATCTTAACCGAGTTATTGAAACTGGGAAAGTCACTATATGATGACGACTTCATTTGTATATATATATATATATATATATATATATACATATAGTGATCACAAAATAAGATTAATCTTGTTTAAATACCTGTAAATATGCATTTGGCCCACGACCTGCGCTTGAGACAGCAGATAATGCGAATCGGTAGTAATAACCAGGGATGAGATTTGGTAACCTTAGCACTCTGCGACCAGGAAGATAGGCGAAAGGTCCGTGGAAAGCGCCACGTGGATGAGTTTGAATCCTTAATTCATAGTGAGTTAGTGGTAGACCTCCAGTTTCAGTTGGGGGTTCAACACACAGCTCAATTAAAGTTGCCTCAACCTAATCAGAATATTTTGAGAAATATAGTAGTAATAATAATAATACTAATATATATATATATATATATATATATATATATATATATATATATGCATAAGTATAAAGAAGTATAATTTGCAAAATAAGCACTGTTTTGTTTTAAAGGAAATATTTCGGTTTTTGAATTATTCTAAAACTCATATAACTGTTATACTAAAGGAATTTACTGTAGGTAATCACGCAACTCATAAAATGCCATAAAAGTTGGTGAATGTTCGAAACGAAAATCTACAGTCGAAAATGAAGATGATGAGACTTACGTATTTTTTGTCAGAAAGTGGAATATTCCACTTAACTGATTTACTGTAAACTTATAAATATCCATGTTTATATAAATTGTTTTCAGGAGAGAAATTTTGATGATGTACTCAGGATGTTAACTAATCCACATGTGATTATAAGACAACACACGCTTTCATTGCACAGACCAGAGGATTTGTATTCGGTTGTAATGAAGTATACTAAGTGGTGGTGAGAAGTAATTGTTTGGGAAAACATTTTAGACGAAGTATTGGAGCAGATAAAAAAATTTCGACTCATCGACCCTGCCGGTTCGAGTTTCATTTTTCTTGTTGTCACTTTACTTTCTATGAAGAAGCTGATTCATGTGAAATTTGTAACCGACTGCAAAAAGTTAGATAAATAGTTTGTCATTGTGTTGACTGTTGTCCACAATCGAAGTACAGAGAAATAATTATGAGGACGTTATACTGTGTATTAGACATATTGAAGATAAAGCATACATTTAGAATACATATTGATGCATACTATATACTTAGGAGGATTAGTAGACGAGTCCAATTCATTGTAGAAATTTTTATCCATCAAATACAAGTAAGTTAGTATAATTATACTAGAGACATTCTATAGCTATTTGATAGTTGACTTTCAACAACATGAGACAAATATAGATGGATTGGTCACAAGTATATGTTTGTTAGTATTTTATGAATGCTGTAAATTCAGTCTCCTTTTTTAAAATTGTCGACTGGTGCCTAATGGATTATTCTGTTATCTGATAATACTGTCATATATATATATATAACGAACTACTGAAGGAGAATTTTAGATGGTTTATTTCATAAGTTGTTTTCTTTGTCAGAAGAGACAGCAAGTAGTCCATCCTCCTGGTTTCTAGTACTTGCTAATTCCCCATAAATCAGCATATTGTTAAACGACAGTACCAGACACGCGTCTCCTGTGAATACAGATATATGTGTACGTAAAAATTCACCCTCAGCTTGACAGTGTTTCAACTTTTAGGTGATTATTTTTCACTAAAGCTGTGGAGTGAATTCGTCATAATTTATGGCAGTCAAAAACAAACAAACACACACCAGAGTCATAATATTTATAAATTTTAAACTAGATTGGATTTGTCTATCCAACGGAGCCTGTACAAAAGTAGCTGGATTAGAATTCGTCAATGTTTATTTTCAGTCTTTAGGGCTAATTGATGGGAGCTTAAACACTAAATGGGGAATTTTTCTTCAAGTCGCTGCTTCGAATAAAACTGTCCAGTTATTTTCTCACAATGATATTCCATGTCCAATAACTGTCTAAGAAAAAAAACAGAAAATTTCCTCGACGTGTTAATAATATATTTCATATATTAAAAATATATCGAGAATTCAACATACTTTACACGCTCTCAGCGTTGGTCGGCCTGGATGGCTCGCCAATTGAAGTCGAACATGTCCTGTTGCATGACCAAGTCTATTAGATGCAGTGCATGTATATGTGCCAAACACACCGACATTCCAATAACCAGCTGGAACAGTTAATTCACTGACCGAATACTCGCCATCTTGATAGTCTGTTTTAACGTAACTGAAGTTAAAACAATAGTTATACTGAGTTCACTTTATGTGGCTAGTTAAAATAAAGAGATGAATACACTTTAAATGACGTACTTCTGTAAATTAATAAGCCATTGTTTATCACCTATAATTCTAGTTTACTAAAACAACCCACATGCTGTGGAAATAATTTATTAATATCAGTATATCCTATCTGCATCTATCTGTTGATTAGCCCGATACTGAAGCTATGTAAGAATGAAACAATCCCTAGTGATTTATACTGTATGAAAAGGAAGCCCACCTGAGACCTTACATTTACTTGGTAGTTTCTCTTGCAGATCATAATGCTATAACAAACCATCTTAGTTGAAAAGATTAATCATACATATTCTACCAATACCAGGATGGTCAGTCAGATGGGCAGACGAAAAGTAAGTACCATAACAATGTAAATTGCATGCACTTCAGTTGAAGTTTTATAGAGAAATAGTACTGCTGGTAGAAAGGCTTATGATAGCAGGAGGGCATTCTCATTGGAGGAAGAAAAACAAACTTGTTGGGTTAATTTCTCAGTTTCTGATGGATCGGTAAGAGAACGTTGGCTCCAAAACTGTACATCATGAATTAGTTAACAAATGTCTCCAGATAATGACAAGGTTTCTGGTATGCAGGAAATTGACTAAACAAGCTTCGCGAGGATGTTGAATGGGCTCTATAGTGATAGTAGAAGAACTACCTTTCTATTTCAGGTATTTAAAAAATATCAGATTTCACTGAGTGTTCGAGGCTAAGAAGTAAAACAATAAATGCTTCCATCGGAACTCATTATTTACTTATGTTCTTAATTCTTTACCCAACCTTAAAGTTCACTGCTTTTTCCCAGCGTTCATAGTACCTTCCACACAGTCCTGTTCATTTATCTTCAGCATACGGTAGCTGCGAACGTTTTCATTAGACGAAACACCATTCTCAACCTCTACTAAAGATACACCTTATCATGTCAAAAATTTCATTAACTAGAATGCTGACATCTTGAGTTAAAGATGCACACTTCAACTTGTAGCAGTACACAAGACTATTATGGTGAACCTGCATAGTCCATGTTACATGTGTCAGGAAATTCGATAGCTGCCTAAAGTGAAAGTTTCTGTTGTGGGGATGACATTAAGATCTACGGAAGAAAACTGATTGTTAAAGTGAAGCCTATTAGTTTAATCTCATTCAGAAGATATGTATTTCGCCTTATAAGTAAAGCTGTAGCTATAGTCATGTGATCAGGTGACTTCAGTGTACAATTAAGAAGACTAGACTAGTTGGAGAAGCAAATAGGAGTAAATGTGAAGTCTAACAACAAAGTATGTACGAAGCGACTGTATTTACTTTTTATAATTTTCACTTATCTTCATTAAAATCTTTACTTTCATTTCCTACCCGTATTTAGCAGTGGTAATATTATATTTGTCTTCTTTTTTTCTGTGATCCTATAAAATATACTAGGCTGATTGACTTTTGTGTGGAATTCTACACAGATATATCAGTCGGTTATCCAGAACTGACAATACAACAACTTACCCTCTTGAATTATTTGGTTCACCTAGTGGTACATTTGGTCCGCTTTGTGGACCTACCCATTTCCATTGAGGTGGTGGCTGTCCCAGTGCCTGGCAGGCTATTTTAGAAGGTAAATGTGATAAACCATAAACAACATCTTTTCCCTGCTGTGTGGTTGTTTCACTCTGAATGGAATTATCATCTGTATCGATGGTGTCTGATATTTCTGTAACACGTCTAGGTTCGGCTGCTGGTGGTGCAAACCAAACAGTCACTCTTCCAGGAGGTTCAGCTGAAGTTGGAGTGAATGCTCGCCAATGAGGTCCAGAAAGTGCTTCACACAAGTAAAACGAGTTATCTTCTGGTGACAGATCTAAATAATGCCAAAATTAAACAAAATTAAAGTACACATTTCTTGTCACATGATTTAAATGTCAGCAAAATTTAGTTGTTACTGATAAAGTTTATGAAATTGTGAAAGCTAGACATAGTGATTACACCAATTGAACTTACCCTTCCCTTCAATATGTGTCTGTAAAAGTTTATCCTTAGATGTTTAAAAGTGTGTGAAGTAATTCAACTTGACAGCTGATAAAAGAATGTTGTTAAAAAAATTTACCCATTAATATTCAGTATTGTCTGAGACTAAGTTAAGAACAAGTTTTTGAAAATATACTGTATGGGAGAAGGGATCACAGACGAGAAGGTATGAACACTTAAGACGGTGTTGTCGTTGAAAGATATTTAAGCCTAATGGTTTGTTGAATATTATTAGTAAACTAAAACTCCTATATTGCAACAATTTCTTGTTAATCAAACTGTTATTCACATAATACTGCAATTTTACTTTTCTTCGAATAGTCGTATAACCTGAATACAAATTACTAACACTGTTATAGCCACAAATTGAATTCGAACAGGCTGGAAATCTGTTTGATGATTATTAAGAAATTTTCTGATATAATTAAGGATACTAAAGGGACCAAAACCTAAATGCATGTATCTATTTATGCTAGGTAGAAGAGAATAACATTTTACGCATTTCAATATAAGCGGTCAAGCTTCATGGGAGAACATGAAGAAAGGTAAAATTAAATTGTAAGCGAAGTTAACGAACTGAACACAACTTTCAAGACAGAAAGTCAGATGAAAGTAATTACAAATATTTGACCACGGATCAATATCAGTTAGAGAACCATTGAAAACCATCCAGGGAGTACTGGACAGCTGTTTCATCCTGGTTGGTGGTTGCACTAAAATCCTGAAATGGTAGAAGTTAGGATTCATGGACCATTGAATCGGGTCTCAGTGGCTTAAAGGTGTGTGAGGTTGCTTTGTAACCGGAAGGCTCTGGGTTCGAACCCCAGTGCGTACTGCTGATGATTACCAGACTAGGACGAAACACTGTCCAGTGCTCCATGGCTGGTTTTTAATGGTTCTGTAACTGATATCAACCCGTGGTCTAATTCGTAAAACAAATCAAATCTTTACAAATCAACTCTTGGAAATTATGAATGTGTTGAACGTGCAGTCAAATTAAATTTAATAACATGTGAAGCACATATATTTTTCTAAAAATTATTATGAAAAGTAAGGAACTCATAAAGCAGCAAAAAATAAATATTAACTTAGATTAGAAAATGCAGACATTTATTCAGGAGAAAAAGTCTGTGTTTATAAAACAACAGAATACCAGTGAATTTAACGAAAATATATATTCATGGCCCATAAATCATGCATGAAAAAGACTATACAAACTAAAAATATTTACCTGTAATATCTAAACGTAAAATAGTTGCATACGAGTTCCGTGGATCTGGTTCAACAGTCAAATGGTATCGAGGATTGTCACCTGGTTTCACAATTTCTATATAACTATTACTATTAGATCCTTCAGTTTTACTTTTTCCACTCACAGAACTCATGTATTGTGCGTCGGATGAAGATGAATCAAGCAAACCACTGTTTTCGGAGAGCAGTGTAGGCCGGTTACGATTTCTATCATTAATAGAAGAGTATCCTGCTTCATATTCAGTGAAACCATCGTATGTTTTGATTGCGGGATTCTTATTTTCCGTATACATAGAATTAGACATATAAGAAATGAGTTTAGTAACACCGGGACCTTTCAGAAGTCTGACACGTAATCCCATTTCATTTGGAAGGCCACCATACGCTTCACATGTTAAACTGCAATTTTCTCCAGGATATCCGCTGGCTCTTAAGCGAGTGCCTGACCGGACGAATCGTGGTTTCAAAACGACGTCTGGAAGAATACTACAATCAAATGAAAAAGAACAAGAATATCATGATGTTGTGCATCTAGTTTTATTTGACACACTTAAATAAGACTCTTAAAATATTAGATATAAACAAAAGGAACCGCAAAAGTTGGAATATACGGGCTGGCCACTGGATCAGATTCCAGTGGCTTAATGGTCTACGAGCTCACTTTGTATCCAGGTTCTAGCCCCGGTGGGTGCATACTGATGAAGAGTCTCAAAGTTTTCAATACTTTCAGACTTTCCAGTGGTCCTCTAACCAAGCTCAGTCCATGATGAATCCATGAAACTGATAAAATCTCTGTAAAAGAAACGGGAAGTGAGTTAGAAATTAAAGCGATCTGTGCCTTATTTACTGTCTTATAAGCTGAAGATGACTGTTTTATAGCAAATCCTGAATAATAGTGACTAATAGGATTAATTTCTAATACCGTAGAAACGCCTTAAGGTGCAACCTTACAACAATTCTCAACTAATTCTAACCTACTCGTCAATAATGCCAATTTACAGTGAATGAATATTTTATCTACATGAAATGATCACATCATGTAATGAAATAACCCTGGTCGTTCTTAAAAAAAGCCCTGGACGCTGAATCTGGGCTAAGAATGCTGAAATAAGGCTGATAAGCAGACACAGCAGGTTCCGAGCTACTTCAGAAAATGCCCAGAAGATGAACAGGGGCTAAATTAGTGCCATTCATGTTGAAAATTAGAATTAGTTGAGAAATGTTCTAAGGTTGCACCTTAAGGCGTTTCTACGGTATTAGAAATTAATCCTATTAGTCACTTTTATTCAGGATTTGCTATAAAACAGTCATCTTCAGCTTATAAGACAGTAAATAAGGCACAGATCGCTTTAATTTCTAACTCACTTCCAAGCTGCTTTCATCACAAAAAATCAACCAATGTCTGTGTTAAACTGTCGCTCAGACATGTAGATTCTTGATTGTGCTGATAAAACGAATAAGATGGGGTAAGTGGCAGTACAAGGAGGTATAACCTCAACCAATATCAACCAGTCCGATTCAATCAATCCAGTGGAATCCTCGATCATTTAAGCTAGCTGTTATTGATAAATCTGGTGGATCTGTTTACCTTCAACAATTATTGTTTGGCAAAAATCATGACTATGGAAAGACAACTTCTGATATACTGACGTTGAGTTTACAATCTGAAAATTGTACAGCCACGTGTATCGGTTTCCCTAGAAGTTCAGGCAGATATCTAGCTGTTGGCATTAATACTGGTTTGATAAATGTTTATAATTGTGTAAATAAGCAAATAACACTACGATGTCAATTACGCTATACTAATCTACATCCATTTAATATATTACCTAATGAATTACAACCCAAGTGTATTAGTTGGGTGTTAAATGATCGTATTATTGCTGCTGGATATAATAATGGCTCTATTGTATTATTCTTAGCAGCTTCGGATAAAACTAGTACTAATGGTCGATGTGAAAACATCGTATTACCTTTCCCTTGTCAATATTCACAGGTCAAAGGTTGTGTTACTTCCCTACCTAAATGTTGTATGTTATAAACTTCTAAATTTAATGGCCATCTCATATGCTGTGGTTAATCTAATGGTTCTATAATCTTATGGAATATACAATAGCCAGTTACTGGTGATACAAACAATTACATTTTAAATTATTGGGATGTTAAATCTTTAGCTACAAGTATGAATGAAATCAGTTTAATAACAATAATAATATTAACAGCTTTATTCCAAACGGTATTTGTGGTACAGGTATGGAATTTTCAGCATGCATTACAATATATTGCATCTAATTACCTCATAAATTTTATAAGACTTTTACAATCAAAAAAGTAAATAAATAAAGGGAAAAAACCAATGCCAAAAGAACAAAGATAAGTAAAAATTATGAAAAATACAGCTTAGAGTTCACATTTCAAACAATGCACCACAGGATATGAAATATAAAGTTGATGATTCAAAGTTATTCAAAGATTATTATGAAGGTTGTATACGCATTGCATTTTCATCGAATGATGATCAATTATTGTATAGTGCAGGATTACCAGATTTAAATTTGCCTGTGTGGTATATACTGTCGACATCAGGTCAACAGAAACAACAACAACAACAAAAACCTGTCACATGTTTATCACCAGTGGATGAACAACACGGTTATCTAAGTATTGATGTCGCTTCAAGAACGCATATTCTTGCAACTGGTTTAGTAAATGGTGAAGTATGGTTATATAATGTACAGAATATGTCTACACCAATTCATTGTATCTCTATTGGATCAGGTAATCATTCTATTCGTCTACTTTCATTCTCATCCACTTTACGAGCTGATCTAAATGACGTAGGCTTTATTAATAATAATAATAATACATTATGCAATTTATCAACTTCTCAAATAACCAATAAAAATTCTTACAGTACATCAATGAATAGTACTCACCTAACATGTAGTAATAGCCAAATTCGTCAACCTTTAAGCGAATTAACTAATACAATACAACAAAAACAACGGGAAAAACAGAACAGTCTAAATCACTAACAAGATGGTCAGTAATGCCGCCTGTTCTCGTGTTGTTCATCCACTGGTGATAAACATGTGACAGGTTTTTGTTGTAATATATACGATACACGCAAATTTAAATCTGGTAATCCTGCACTATACAATAATTGATCATCATTCGATGAAAATGCAATGCGTATACAACCTTCATAATAATCTTTGAATAACTTTGAATCATCAACTTTATATTTCATATCCTGTGGTGCATTGTTTGAAATGTAAACTCTAAGCTGTATTTTTCATAATTTTTACTTATCTTTGTTCTTTTGGCATTGGTTTTTTCCCTTTATTTATTTACTTTTTTGATTGTAAAAGTCTTATAAAATTTATGAGGTAATTAGATGCAATATATTGTAATGCATGCTGAAAATTCCATACCTGTACCACAAATACCGTTTGGAATAAAGCTGTTAATATTATTATTGTTATTAAACTGATTTCATTCATACTTGTAGCTAAAGATTTAACATCCCAATAATTTAAAATGTAATTGTTTGTATCACCAGTAACTGGCTATTGTATATTCCATAAGATTATAGAACCATTAGATTAACCACAGCATATGAGATGGCCATTAAATTTAGAAGTTTATAACATACAACATTTAGGTAGGGAAGTAACACAACCTTTGACCTGTGAATATTGACAAGGGAAAGGTAATACGATGTTTTCACATCGACCATTAGTACTAGTTTTATCCGAAGCTGCTAAGAATAATACAATAGAGCCATTATTATATCCAGCAGCAATAATACGATCATTTAACACCCAACTAATACACTTGGGTTGTAATTCATTAGGTAATATATTAAATGGATGTAGATTAGTATAGCGTAATTGACATCGTAGTGTTATTTGCACAATTATAAACATTTATCAAACCAGTATTAATGCCAACAGCTAGATATCTGCCTGAACTTCTAGGGAAACCGATACACGTGGCTGTACAATTTTCAGATTGTAAACTCAACGTCAGTATATCAGAAGTTGTCTTTCCATAGTCATGATTTTTGCCAAACAATAATTGTTGAAGGTAAACAGATCCACCAGATTTATCAATAACAGCTAGCTTAAATGATCGAGGATTCCACTGGATTGATTGAATCGGACTGGTTGATATTGGTTGAGGTTATACCTCCTTGTACTGCCACTTACCCCATCTTATTCGTTTTATCAGCACAATCAAGAATCTACATGTCTGAGCGACAGTTTAACACAGACATTGGTTGATTTTTTGTGATGAAAGCAGCTTGGAAGTGAGTTAGAAATTAAAGCGATCTGTGCCTTATTTACTGTCTTATAAGCTGAAGATGACTGTTTTATAGCAAATCCTGAATAATAGTGACTAATAGGATTAATTTCTAATACCGTAGAAACGCCTTAAGGTGCAACCTTACAACAATTCTCAACTAATTCTAACCTACTCGTCAATAATGCCAATTTACAGTGAATGAATATTTTATCTACATGAAATGATCACATCATGTAATGAAATAACCCTGGTCGTTCTTAAAAAAAGCCCTGGACGCTGAATCTGGGCTAAGAATGCTGAAATAAGGCTGATAAGCAGACACAGCAGGTTCCGAGCTACTTCAGAAAATGCCCAGAAGATGAACAGGGGCTAAATTAGTGCCATTCATGTTGAAAATTAGAATTAGTTGAGAAATGTTCTAAGGTTGCACCTTAAGGCGTTTCTACGGTATTAGAAATTAATCCTATTAGTCACTATTATTCAGGATTTGCTATAAAACAGTCATCTTCAGCTTATAAGACAGTAAATAAGGCACAGATCGCTTTAATTTCTAACTCACTTCCAAGCTGCTTTCATCACAAAAAATCAACCAATGTCTGTGTTAAACTGTCGCTCAGACATGTAGATTCTTGATTGTGCTGATAAAACGAATAAGATGGGGTAAGTGGCAGTACAAGGAGGTATAACCTCAACCAATATCAACCAGTCCGATTCAATCAATCCAGTGGAATCCTCGATCATTTAAGCTAGCTGTTATTGATAAATCTGGTGGATCTGTTTACCTTCAACAATTATTGTTTGGCAAAAATCATGACTATGGAAAGACAACTTCTGATATACTGACGTTGAGTTTACAATCTGAAAATTGTACAGCCACGTGTATCGGTTTCCCTAGAAGTTCAGGCAGATATCTAGCTGTTGGCATTAATACTGGTTTGATAAATGTTTATAATTGTGGAAATAAGCAAATAACACTACGATGTCAATTACGCTATACTAATCTACATCCATTTAATATATTACCTAATGAATTACAACCCAAGTGTATTAGTTGGGTGTTAAATGATCGTATTATTGCTGCTGGATATAATAATGGCTCTATTGTATTATTCTTAGCAGCTTCGGATAAAACTAGTACTAATGGTCGATGTGAAAACATCGTATTACCTTTCCCTTGTCAATATTCACAGGTCAAAGGTTGTGTTACTTCCCTACCTAAATGTTGTATGTTATAAACTTCTAAATTTAATGGCCATCTCATATGCTGTGGTTAATCTAATGGTTCTATAATCTTATGGAATATACAATAGCCAGTTACTGGTGATACAAACAATTACATTTTAAATTATTGGGATGTTAAATCTTTAGCTACAAGTATGAATGAAATCAGTTTAATAACAATAATAATATTAACAGCTTTATTCCAAACGGTATTTGTGGTACAGGTATGGAATTTTCAGCATGCATTACAATATATTGCATCTAATTACCTCATAAATTTTATAAGACTTTTACAATCAAAAAAGTAAATAAATAAAGGGAAAAAACCAATGCCAAAAGAACAAAGATAAGTAAAAATTATGAAAAATACAGCTTAGAGTTTACATTTCAAACAATGCACCACAGGATATGAAATATAAAGTTGATGATTCAAAGTTATTCAAAGATTATTATGAAGGTTGTATACGCATTGCATTTTCATCGAATGATGATCAATTATTGTATAGTGCAGGATTACCAGATTTAAATTTGCGTGTATCGTATATATTACAACAAAAACCTGTCACATGTTTATCACCAGTGGATGAACAACACGAGAACAGGCGGCATTACTGACCATCTTGTTAGTGATTTAGACTGTTCTGTTTTTCCCGTTGTTTTTGTTGTATTGTATTAGTTAATTCGCTTAAAGGTTGACGAATTTGGCTATTACTACATGTTAGGTGAGTACTATTCATTGATGTACTGTAAGAATTTTTATTGGTTATTTGAGAAGTTGATAAATTGCATAATGTATTATTATTATTATTATTAATAAAGCCTACGTCATTTAGATCAGCTCGTAAAGTGGATGAGAATGAAAGTAGACGAATAGAATGATTACCTGATCCAATAGAGATACAATGAATTGGTGTAGACATATTCTGTACATTATATAACCATACTTCACCATTTACTAAACCAGTTGCAAGAATATGCGTTCTTGAAGCGACATCAATACTTAGATAACCGTGTTGTTCATCCACTGGTGATAAACATGTGACAGGTTTTTGTTGTTGTTGTTGTTTCTGTTGACCTGATGTCGACAGTATATACCACACAGGCAAATTTAAATCTGGTAATCCTGCACTATACAATAATTGATCATCATTCGATGAAAATGCAATGCGTATACAACCTTCATAATAATCTTTGAATAACTTTGAATCATCAACTTTATATTTCATATCCTGTGGTGCATTGTTTGAAATGTGAACTCTAAGCTGTATTTTTCATAATTTTTACTTATCTTTGTTCTTTTGGCATTGGTTTTTTCCCTTTATTTATTTACTTTTTTGATTGTAAAAGTCTTATAAAATTTATGAGGTAATTAGATGCAATATATTGTAATGCATGCTGAAAATTCCATACCTGTACCACAAATACCGTTTGGAATAAAGCTGTTAATATTATTATTGTTATTAAACTGATTTCATTCATACTTGTAGCTAAAGATTTAACATCCCAATAATTTAAAATGTAATTGTTTGTATCACCAGTAACTGGCTATTGTATATTCCATAAGATTATAGAACCATTAGATTAACCACAGCATATGAGATGGCCATTAAATTTAGAAGTTTATAACATACAACATTTAGGTAGGGAAGTAACACAACCTTTGACCTGTGAATATTGACAAGGGAAAGGTAATACGATGTTTTCACATCGACCATTAGTACTAGTTTTATCCGAAGCTGCTAAGAATAATACAATAGAGCCATTATTATATCCAGCAGCAATAATACGATCATTTAACACCCAACTAATACACTTGGGTTGTAATTCATTAGGTAATATATTAAATGGATGTAGATTAGTATAGCGTAATTGACATCGTAGTGTTATTTGCCACAATTATAAACATTTATCAAACCAGTATTAATGCCAACAGCTAGATATCTGCCTGAACTTCTAGGGAAACCGATACACGTGGCTGTACAATTTTCAGATTGTAAACTCAACGTCAGTATATCAGAAGTTGTCTTTCCATAGTCATGATTTTTGCCAAACAATAATTGTTGAAGGTAAACAGATCCACCAGATTTATCAATAACAGCTAGCTTAAATGATCGAGGATTCCACTGGATTGATTGAATCGGACTGGTTGATATTGGTTGAGGTTATACCTCCTTGTACTGCCACTTACCCCATCTTATTCGTTTTATCAGCACAATCAAGAATCTACATGTCTGAGCGACAGTTTAACACAGACATTGGTTGATTTTTTGTGATGAAAGCAGCTTGGAAGTGAGTTAGAAATTAAAGCGATCTGTGCCTTATTTACTGTCTTATAAGCTGAAGATGACTGTTTTATAGCAAATCCTGAATAAAAGTGACTAATAGGATTAATTTCTAATACCGTAGAAACGCCTTAAGGTGCAACCTTACAACAATTCTCAACTAATTCTAACCTACTCGTCAATAATGCCAATTTACAGTGAATGAATATTTTATCTACATGAAATGATCACATCATGTAATGAAATAACCCTGGTCGTTCTTAAAAAAAGCCCTGGACGCTGAATCTGGGCTAAGAATGCTGAAATAAGGCTGATAAGCAGACACAGCAGGTTCCGAGCTACTTCAGAAAATGCCCAGAAGATGAACAGGGGCTAAATTAGTGCCATTCATGTTGAAAATTAGAATTAGTTGAGAAATGTTCTAAGGTTGCACCTTAAGGCGTTTCTACGGTATTAGAAATTAATCCTATTAGTCACTTTTATTCAGGATTTGCTATAAAACAGTCATCTTCAGCTTATAAGACAGTAAATAAGGCACAGATCGCTTTAATTTCTAACTCACTTCCAAGCTGCTTTCATCACAAAAAATCAACCAATGTCTGTGTTAAACTGTCGCTCAGACATGTAGATTCTTGATTGTGCTGATAAAACGAATAAGATGGGGTAAGTGGCAGTACAAGGAGGTATAACCTCAACCAATATCAACCAGTCCGATTCAATCAATCCAGTGGAATCCTCGATCATTTAAGCTAGCTGTTATTGATAAATCTGGTGGATCTGTTTACCTTCAACAATTATTGTTTGGCAAAAATCATGACTATGGAAAGACAACTTCTGATATACTGACGTTGAGTTTACAATCTGAAAATTGTACAGCCACGTGTATCGGTTTCCCTAGAAGTTCAGGCAGATATCTAGCTGTTGGCATTAATACTGGTTTGATAAATGTTTATAATTGTGGAAATAAGCAAATAACACTACGATGTCAATTACGCTATACTAATCTACATCCATTTAATATATTACCTAATGAATTACAACCCAAGTGTATTAGTTGGGTGTTAAATGATCGTATTATTGCTGCTGGATATAATAATGGCTCTATTGTATTATTCTTAGCAGCTTCGGATAAAACTAGTACTAATGGTCGATGTGAAAACATCGTATTACCTTTCCCTTGTCAATATTCACAGGTCAAAGGTTGTGTTACTTCCCTACCTAAATGTTGTATGTTATAAACTTCTAAATTTAATGGCCATCTCATATGCTGTGGTTAATCTAATGGTTCTATAATCTTATGGAATATACAATAGCCAGTTACTGGTGATACAAACAATTACATTTTAAATTATTGGGATGTTAAATCTTTAGCTACAAGTATGAATGAAATCAGTTTAATAACAATAATAATATTAACAGCTTTATTCCAAACGGTATTTGTGGTACAGGTATGGAATTTTCAGCATGCATTACAATATATTGCATCTAATTACCTCATAAATTTTATAAGACTTTTACAATCAAAAAAGTAAATAAATAAAGGGAAAAAACCAATGCCAAAAGAACAAAGATAAGTAAAAATTATGAAAAATACAGCTTAGAGTTCACATTTCAAACAATGCACCACAGGATATGAAATATAAAGTTGATGATTCAAAGTTATTCAAAGATTATTATGAAGGTTGTATACGCATTGCATTTTCATCGAATGATGATCAATTATTGTATAGTGCAGGATTACCAGATTTAAATTTGCCTGTGTGGTATATACTGTCGACATCAGGTCAACAGAAACAACAACAACAACAAAAACCTGTCACATGTTTATCACCAGTGGATGAACAACACGGTTATCTAAGTATTGATGTCGCTTCAAGAACGCATATTCTTGCAACTGGTTTAGTAAATGGTGAAGTATGGTTATATAATGTACAGAATATGTCTACACCAATTCATTGTATCTCTATTGGATCAGGTAATCATTCTATTCGTCTACTTTCATTCTCATCCACTTTACGAGCTGATCTAAATGACGTAGGCTTTATTAATAATAATAATAATAATAATACATTATGCAATTTATCAACTTCTCAAATAACCAATAAAAATTCTTACAGTACATCAATGAATAGTACTCACCTAACATGTAGTAATAGCCAAATTCGTCAACCTTTAAGCGAATTAACTAATACAATACAACAAAAACAACGGGAAAAACAGAACAGTCTAAATCACTAACAAGATGGTCAGTAATGCCGCCTGTTCTCGTGTTGTTCATCCACTGGTGATAAACATGTGACAGGTTTTTGTTGTAATATATACGATACACGCAAATTTAAATCTGGTAATCCTGCACTATACAATAATTGATCATCATTCGATGAAAATGCAATGCGTATACAACCTTCATAATAATCTTTGAATAACTTTGAATCATCAACTTTATATTTCATATCCTGTGGTGCATTGTTTGAAATGTAAACTCTAAGCTGTATTTTTCATAATTTTTACTTATCTTTGTTCTTTTGGCATTGGTTTTTTCCCTTTATTTATTTACTTTTTTGATTGTAAAAGTCTTATAAAATTTATGAGGTAATTAGATGCAATATATTGTAATGCATGCTGAAAATTCCATACCTGTACCACAAATACCGTTTGGAATAAAGCTGTTAATATTATTATTGTTATTAAACTGATTTCGTTCATACTTGTAGCTAAAGATTTAACATCCCAATAATTTAAAATGTAATTGTTTGTATCACCAGTAACTGGCTATTGTATATTCCATAAGATTATAGAACCATTAGATTAACCACAGCATATGAGATGGCCATTAAATTTAGAAGTTTATAACATACAACATTTAGGTAGGGAAGTAACACAACCTTTGACCTGTGAATATTGACAAGGGAAAGGTAATACGATGTTTTCACATCGACCATTAGTACTAGTTTTATCCGAAGCTGCTAAGAATAATACAATAGAGCCATTATTATATCCAGCAGCAATAATACGATCATTTAACACCCAACTAATACACTTGGGTTGTAATTCATTAGGTAATATATTAAATGGATGTAGATTAGTATAGCGTAATTGACATCGTAGTGTTATTTGCACAATTATAAACATTTATCAAACCAGTATTAATGCCAACAGCTAGATATCTGCCTGAACTTCTAGGGAAACCGATACACGTGGCTGTACAATTTTCAGATTGTAAACTCAACGTCAGTATATCAGAAGTTGTCTTTCCATAGTCATGATTTTTGCCAAACAATAATTGTTGAAGGTAAACAGATCCACCAGATTTATCAATAACAGCTAGCTTAAATGATCGAGGATTCCACTGGATTGATTGAATCGGACTGGTTGATATTGGTTGAGGTTATACCTCCTTGTACTGCCACTTACCCCATCTTATTCGTTTTATCAGCACAATCAAGAATCTACATGTCTGAGCGACAGTTTAACACAGACATTGGTTGATTTTTTGTGATGAAAGCAGCTTGGAAGTGAGTTAGAAATTAAAGCGATCTGTGCCTTATTTACTGTCTTATAAGCTGAAGATGACTGTTTTATAGCAAATCCTGAATAATAGTGACTAATAGGATTAATTTCTAATACCGTAGAAACGCCTTAAGGTGCAACCTTACAACAATTCTCAACTAATTCTAACCTACTCGTCAATAATGCCAATTTACAGTGAATGAATATTTTATCTACATGAAATGATCACATCATGTAATGAAATAACCCTGGTCGTTCTTAAAAAAAGCCCTGGACGCTGAATCTGGGCTAAGAATGCTGAAATAAGGCTGATAAGCAGACACAGCAGGTTCCGAGCTACTTCAGAAAATGCCCAGAAGATGAACAGGGGCTAAATTAGTGCCATTCATGTTGAAAATTAGAATTAGTTGAGAAATGTTCTAAGGTTGCACCTTAAGGCGTTTCTACGGTATTAGAAATTAATCCTATTAGTCACTTTTATTCAGGATTTGCTATAAAACAGTCATCTTCAGCTTATAAGACAGTAAATAAGGCACAGATCGCTTTAATTTCTAACTCACTTCCAAGCTGCTTTCATCACAAAAAATCAACCAATGTCTGTGTTAAACTGTCGCTCAGACATGTAGATTCTTGATTGTGCTGATAAAACGAATAAGATGGGGTAAGTGGCAGTACAAGGAG